TTACATTTAGAAGGAAAGCTGGAGGGCAGGAATTTTTGACTTTTTGTTCTGTGTCCCCAACTCTGGCACATAGGAAATACTTTAAAAAGTATTTGTAGAAAGAATGAACAAATCATAACTTATATGAAAGGATCAGTACTTAGTAAATGTGTAACACTCAACACAGCTAATAAACAGTATTATTACTTTATAGTTATTTTCTAATAATTCAATTCAACAAATATAATTTAGACATTTATGTCTGGTAGAGGTCTGTGCTAGGTGTAAAGGTTGGAGGTTGGGAGCCACAGAGTGTATACAATGATAAAAGGGACAAAGTTCCTCAAGAAGTGAGCAGTATAGGAGCAGAATAGATAGGAAATCGGGTATGAGTTGTCTGTGAGACATCCAAGTAGAGACACTGGGTAGGCAAGAAATATATTACAGTCTACATGAACGACACAGAATGCAGAGGAGGGAGAGATTATATTCACTGAGTTTTCAGACACTGATCAGAAGCAGTAACTTTCTAAATTTTGGACATGATTCATTTTTCTCATCTTTGAGAGTCCCCAACCCCTACTACCCCCATTCTAGTTTCTTGGGTTACTCATTTCCTTGGTAGGAAGTTACCTTGAATGCCCAGATATGCTAGGCCTCCAGGTGCCTGCTCCTCATCTTCTCTTCACTGTCCAGTCTTAATTTTCCAGTGTGAATCACTCATTACTAACTCAGCATTTTACAGTCTGATTTCTCAATATTTCCAGACTATTTTAACCAAATATTGGCAAAGTTAAACCATACAATTGAAATACGAAGCAAACAGATGCTAAATAGATTTTTTTTAAAGCTAGAAAGGAGGTATTTTGGGAGGAAAAAAATCTAATCTTTGAAACCAATAAATCAAACCTTATTGATTTAATCTCTGGGTTTGTTCTAATTTTACATAGCTTCTTTAAATAATTTTATTGATAACTTACACCCTGTGGGTTTTCTATAAACCAAAGGCATTTATTTGAGGCACGCTGTTATAAATCTCTAGTCCCACCCCTACAGGAAGGGAGTAGCCCCAGCGTGTAGATAATCAAAGCACTCTAAATAAATATATACAACATTTTATTTTCAAGGAAGCTCAACAAAATTATAGTTGAGAATATGCTTCAAAGAAAAACAACAGATTGGATAACTAACTTAGAAAAATTACTTAAAGCAGTTACTAGCTAGATAAAAAGTACTCCCTTTATCCCCCAAAAACAATTAAATAAAAAGTATGCTAAATGGTATTGAAGAACTGTGATACTCTTCCATATAGCTTACTTTAAAATGATCTTGGTTGACATTAAGTGCAAACAGTCTTTGTGCAAAAGTTAGAGATAATTTTTGTCTACTATAAAAAAAATACATTCATTTATATAGAGTTGATGCAACCATATTACAAATGATCAGTTAAGCTCTAAGTTGTATACAATATCTAATAGTTACCAGAGCATCTTAATTTCTGTTTAGTTTTTTATTTTTATTTTGTAGTTACAATAAAACCCAATCATATAATAATTTTAAGGCAAGCTCTAATCCTCCCAGCTCTAGCACAGGTTAAGTCATTACTTATTTGATTCTGACCAAATTATTTGACTCACTAAGTCTCAATTTCTTTATCTATAAAGTAGGGCTAATACTGGTACCCAACTAACAGAATTCTTGTAAGATTAGTAAATGATGCAGTGCACTCTCCAGAATGCCTGGGCTTCAGTGGATAGTTGCAGCTATGACTCATGAGTGTTGCTGCTGTGCAAAAATAGGCAAGAGACAATTTCTGTGATTGAGGAAAACAAGTAGCTAACAAATATTAAAAAGCATTCCTTTGTTTTATCTTTTCAGTCTCAGAATCTTAAATATGGCTTAGCACACCATAAATGTAAGTACCTGTAAAAATCTGATTAAGTAACTTATCATTTTCTGCACATTTGTACCATACTAACTTTATCACAAGGTACTGGAATGTAATCCTTTCAGTGGCCTAAAAAGACAATAAATACGCTGATCTTGAAAGGCATATTATGTGTACAGCCCATTTGGGGAATTAGTCATGCAATATTTCATATTGTTTAATAAATCAATCCATAAGTTATCACAATTAGTCCTTACCTAGTAGATTTTAAGGACTATGAAGGAAGGGAATGTATGTAGTTTTTGTATCTTTCATGCCACTGGCTTGGCACAAAGGAATTTTGAAATAGTATAGTGGAAACAGCACTCAGCTAGTAGTCAGGAAATATTTAGCTGAGTAATTGCAGACAAGTCACTTAACTCTCTTCAGGCTTCAGATTACTCATCAGTCATGTGCTTTTCCATCTCTGACATTTAGATTCCTATTCAAATGCTCCTATTCTAAGAAACACTAGCAAGAGGGATTTTTACCAATGTCTGTCATTTAAATACACAACTTCATTTCCTCATATTTACATATTGAAAGAAATGGAACCCTTAATTATTGATTTTGTTCATTAATGAAAAAACTCAGAATTCTTGTCATTGTCTCTTCCATCAGCACACAAACCCTTCAATCTGTTTTAAAACCAGCAAGCCCTCCCGCCAGCATTCCCCATCCCCTACCCTGTTTCATTTACTCCTTTGTACTCACCACACTTTGTACTCACCACACTGTGACTCACCACACTGTGACAGAAAATTGTGTTTTGTCTATCCTCCCCCAACCTGCTCCTCCAATACCTAAGCTTCACAGGAACAGGTTATTATTATTATTTATTTATTTTGTCTCTTTGGCACACTGCTATACCGCTTGCATGTGGAACCGAATCAGACACATAATAGCTCCAAAATCACTTGATGAATAAATGGGTGAATAAACGTTATTTAAGGTCCTTCATTAACTTCTATTCCACGTGTTGTATCCCCAGCATGTGGAACAGGATCAGGCACATAATGGCTCCAACATTATTTGATGAATAAATGGATGAATAAACATTATTTAAGATCCTTCACCAACTTATATATTTACCAACTCAGCTTCTCCATGTTGACCAGGGTTTCTGAATCTTATCCCCTATCCAAGGCTTATATTCATTCCTGCATCTGTGTCATTTTAGGATATTCTCCTATACTACCCCTGCCTTTCATATCATTCATTTATTAAGATTTATTGATTGCCTTCTGTGATCCAAGCAATGTGCCAAGTGCTGGGGATTCAGAAGTAAAAAGCCCAGCACAACCCTTCCCCTCTAACAGTCTTTGCTTAGTGCTTTGAGCCCCAGCCTCCTGTTCGACTTCTCTGTCCTGCTTTCATCCCTTGGGATGTTGTGTATTCATAAAGCTCTGGAGAAAAGAGATCTGTGCGGTTTGATTGGTTGCTATCCATCTCTGAATAGACTTCTTTTAATAGTGAACTAATAGAACGGGGAGCAAACAATTCTCACTTCTATGGAGATAACTACATCGTTTTAGAGTTGCTTTGGGGGTCACTGGAACATTGCTGTTTCCTAAACAGCAATAATCAAAATTCCAGTTCCATAAGGCATGACTGTGTGGGACCTAAAATGGCTCGCTACATCTCCCCACTTCTCTCTGTTTTCTGTACCCAGAGATGAGCTGCGGGTGCTTCTTTGCATCCTGAAGAAGCATAATTAACCTAACATCTTCAGCTTCAAGGTTATTATCTATTGCTCCAACTAAATAGGAGACCAAGTCCCCAGTTGACAGAGAGCTTTGATGTCAAATCATGCTAAGTATGAGGCCTGTCTGTGCTTTTTAAAATATTGAGGTATATTTGAAAACTGAAAATTGAGTATATATTGATGATTTGATATACATATCCATTATGAAAAAAATCACATTCAAGCTAATTAACATGTTCATCACCTTAGTTACCACGTTTTTATAAGTATGTGGTGAGAACACTTAAGATATACCCTCTTAGTAAATTTCATGCATACAATATTATTTTGTTACACTATTGTTAACCATAGTCACACTGCTGTACATTAGATCCCCAGAATTTACTCATCTTACATAACTGAAACTTTGCACCCCTTGAACAACATCTCCCCCTGTCTGTGCCTTTTAGCAGGACTTGGGGAGCACTTCATACCTCCGCATTAATACCTCAGCATTTACTAAGTTGTGCTCAGTGGATCTCTGAAGTCCTGAAAAAGGAGAGTTCCATGGGTAAATAAGTTTAGGAATGTCACATCTTACATTTCCCACTTGGAGATACAGGACACATAATGAGAATATTTATATAGTATTTATAGATGTTTAATTGTGTTAAACCCAGTCAGTGTTTCCCAGCGTTGGTCATGGAACCTTTTATTCCCAGAACACCAATAACATCTCAGAGGACATTCCTGCTCAAGAGAAAGCCATGTGGTAAATTCTTTTTTACCTTCTTGTCATATCCAAATGAATAGCAAATGGTTGTGAGTTAGTAAAAAGAGAAATATGCATATATCTTCCTGCTAGCAGTTCTCAGGAGAAACACCGTTTTATTAAACAAACACTAGGCTTTAAGTCAGAAGGCTCTTGACTTAGTCCTAGCTCTGTCTTATAACTGATTGACTGTATGTTTTTGGGAAAATTGCTTTACCTCTGAGCCTCAATCTCTTTTCCTGTAAAGGAGACACATGTTAGGATAACCATATTCCATTGTTTGAAACTGCTGACCAGTTTAGGAAGTTTATGAAGCAGATTTCCCTTTGATTTAAAAGGTATTCTTCTGGGTGGATTTTGGGGCCTATAGTTTTAAAGACCTCTTTTAGATGACTGGTGGCTTCAGCTCTGAAGATGGAGGTATCTGATTTCTTAGACATGAGGCTACAGGTCTCTCTAAGGCTCTAAAAACCCAAAAAAGGATTTTTAACATGAACAATGAAAACAAAGTCTGGGATATATAACCTGAGTAGTAGGATAATACCTAGAGAATACCTATGAAGTCTTATATAGTATGGAAAAAGATACAGGTCTATAATATTATAAACAAGCAATAAATGAAATTTGAGACTATGTGCTTATTTGACAATAGATTAACTGGTTTATTTTTCTGATCACTCAGTTTCCAAAGATAGAGATTCGTGATACAGAGTTATATTGCAAAACTGATTTATAGGTCAGAGCTAATTTATATTCCAAAGCAACATAGGAGAGGTCAGTAATAATCATTTCCAGTGAGGCTTCCTCTGCTCCTTATCTTTAAGGAAGGCTCTCTTCTACTCTTACTCGGGAGGGAAAGATTTGTTCCCAAACCTTTCTCTGAAGGGAAGAAATTCTATGATGATTTAATATTCACTTGCAAATAATGCACTTGAGGGAATGAGGTGGCACTTGATGTTTGTCTACACTGAAATAACTAACACAAATTTTAGTCTCTATTTGCTTGAAATTTGATGTAAGCATTGATGACAATAAATAATTTGGCTTTAAAGAAGACAAAATCTTGCTTTCACTATAGGGAAAATAAATGTTACTGCTCTAAGTAATTCCTGGGCCATTGTAATACATTCAATGTGATGTTTTCTAAGTAAGCCTGCCTGCCATCTGGTTACTAAAACTGTGTTTTTACTACTTCATAGATACACATGGCCCAGTAGCAATGAGATGCAGGGAAACGATATGAGCCTGTGGATCAATTCCAAAGCAATTTGAGAATTCAAGCCATTCATTTGTTTGCAACACAAAGTGCTCTCCACACAAAAAAACAGTGAGTCTAACTTATCTGTCTCTTTCCTGTCTTGGTATCTTTAAAAATGTCCGTTGTGACAGGATATACATGGGTTTACAATATTAAGCCAACCTTAGGGACCATGAGGAAGAGTGAAAAAGAGTCTGTGTGCTTCTGTGCCACATCCTGAGTGTGCTGTTCTGGGGCCAGCACACTCCTCCTGGTCTACAGAGTGCACACAGAGGCAGTTGGATAATATAGCAAAAGTCCCTATGTGTCTATGGTAATAGGGGACCAAACCAAGCTTTTCATCAAGCCTCTGGCAGGCACCCATCCCTCATCAAAACCAAAGGCAGAATTAGTAGCACTGAGTATAGTGTCTGACACGTAATAGGGGCTCAATAAATGCTATTAAATACAATCATCTGGGAATTCTGTATACAGTAACATAATGCCACAGGAGTGCTTATCCTAGTCTCTTTTGCTATTGTACTGCATGCATCGGACATATGCCTAACACCTAGTGCAGGCTCTCTTTACCCTCTTAGTAAATTTCATGCATACAATATTATTTTGTTACACTATTGTTAACCATAGTCACACTGCTGTACATTAGATCCCCAGAATTTACTCATCTTACATAACTGAAACTTTGCACCCCTTGAACAACATCTCCCCCTGTTTGTGCCTTTTAGCAGGACTTGGGGAGCACTTCATACCTCCGCATTAATACCTCAGCATTTACTAAGTTGTGCTCAGTGGATCTCTGAAGTCCTGAAAAAGGAGAGTTCCATGGGTAAATAAGTTTAGGAATGTCACATCTTACATTTCCCACTTGGAGATACAGGACACATAATGAGAATATTTATATAGTATTTATAGATGTTTAATTGTGTTAAACCCAGTCAGTGTTTCCCAGCGTTGGTCATGGAACCTTTTATTCCCAGAACACCAATAACATCTCAGAGGACATTCCTGCTCAAGAGAAAGCCATGTGGTAAATTCTTTTTTACCTTCTTGTCATATCCAAATGAATAGCAAATGGTTGTGAGTTAGTAAAAAGAGAAATATGCATATATCTTCCTGCTAGCAGTTCTCAGGAGAAACACCGTTTTATTAAACAAACACTAGGCTTTAAGTCAGAAGGCTCTTGACTTAGTCCTAGCTCTGTCTTATAACTGATTGACTGTATGTTTTTGGGAAAATTGCTTTACCTCTGAGCCTCAATCTCTTTTCCTGTAAAGGAGACACATGTTAGGATAACCATATTCCATTGTTTGAAACTGCTGACCAGTTTAGGAAGTTTATGAAGCAGATTTCCCTTTGATTTAAAAGGTATTCTTCTGGGTGGATTTTGGGGCCTATAGTTTTAAAGACCTCTTTTAGATGACTGGTGGCTTCAGCTCTGAAGATGGAGGTATCTGATTTCTTAGACATGAGGCTACAGGTCTCTCTAAGGCTCTAAAAACCCAAAAAAGGATTTTTAACATGAACAATGAAAACAAAGTCTGGGATATATAACCTGAGTAGTAGGATAATACCTAGAGAATACCTATGAAGTCTTATATAGTATGGAAAAAGATACAGGTCTATAATATTATAAACAAGCAATAAATGAAATTTGAGACTATGTGCTTATTTGACAATAGATTAACTGGTTTATTTTTCTGATCACTCAGTTTCCAAAGATAGAGATTCGTGATACAGAGTTATATTGCAAAACTGATTTATAGGTCAGAGCTAATTTATATTCCAAAGCAACATAGGAGAGGTCAGTAATAATCATTTCCAGTGAGGCTTCCTCTGCTCCTTATCTTTAAGGAAGGCTCTCTTCTACTCTTACTCGGGAGGGAAAGATTTGTTCCCAAACCTTTCTCTGAAGGGAAGAAATTCTATGATGATTTAATATTCACTTGCAAATAATGCACTTGAGGGAATGAGGTGGCACTTGATGTTTGTCTACACTGAAATAACTAACACAAATTTTAGTCTCTATTTGCTTGAAATTTGATGTAAGCATTGATGACAATAAATAATTTGGCTTTAAAGAAGACAAAATCTTGCTTTCACTATAGGGAAAATAAATGTTACTGCTCTAAGTAATTCCTGGGCCATTGTAATACATTCAATGTGATGTTTTCTAAGTAAGCCTGCCTGCCATCTGGTTACTAAAACTGTGTTTTTACTACTTCATAGATACACATGGCCCAGTAGCAATGAGATGCAGGGAAACGATATGAGCCTGTGGATCAATTCCAAAGCAATTTGAGAATTCAAGCCATTCATTTGTTTGCAACACAAAGTGCTCTCCACACAAAAAAACAGTGAGTCTAACTTATCTGTCTCTTTCCTGTCTTGGTATCTTTAAAAATGTCCGTTGTGACAGGATATACATGGGTTTACAATATTAAGCCAACCTTAGGGACCATGAGGAAGAGTGAAAAAGAGTCTGTGTGCTTCTGTGCCACATCCTGAGTGTGCTGTTCTGGGGCCAGCACACTCCTCCTGGTCTACAGAGTGCACACAGAGGCAGTTGGATAATATAGCAAAAGTCCCTATGTGTCTATGGTAATAGGGGACCAAACCAAGCTTTTCATCAAGCCTCTGGCAGGCACCCATCCCTCATCAAAACCAAAGGCAGAATTAGTAGCACTGAGTATAGTGTCTGACACGTAATAGGGGCTCAATAAATGCTATTAAATACAATCATCTGGGAATTCTGTATACAGTAACATAATGCCACAGGAGTGCTTATCCTAGTCTCTTTTGCTATTGTACTGCATGCATCGGACATATGCCTAACACCTAGTGCAGGCTCTCTCAACTATGGTACTATTGACATTTGGGGCTAATAATTCTTCCTTGGGTGTGGGAGGGATGCTGTCTTGTGCACTGTTTACCAGCCTCCCTGGCCTCCACCCACTAGATGCCAGTAGTGTCTCTCTCCAGCAAAAATGTCTCTTGTAGACATTGCCCTGGGATGGGTGGAGAGTAGGAAAATCACCCCTACTTAAGAAACACTTACCTAGTCTCTGTGTTCAGACATGTACCAGAATTAGAAAGGTTATATTTACTTTTTCATCTTTTTTCTGAATCAGTATTTCTTGATCTACATTACATGTTGAAGGATCTCTTACTCTGCTTTCGCCCAGTTTTCTATGAATGTTATTTTCATAAAGCTGGAGGGAGAAAACTTTCTAGTACACCCATGTGAATTAAAAAGACCTGTTTTCCCTTTAGGGGAGGGGAAATATGAAACAAAGAGAAACCATTCCATAAAGAAATTGGACCAGTAGCTAACGAGGCTGTTTTACAGAATAAGATTGAGATGGTCTTGGGCCAAGGATAGACCCAAGTCCCTAAACTGGAAATAATGTATCTGGAAGTCCAAAAAAAACTTTTGTCTCTTAAAAAAAGGTACCTTCATTTGTTGGCTATGCACTCTTGTAATCTTAACAATAAAACTCCACTGTTATACAAAAGTATCCTTCTGATAAACAGATTTTTTTCTCCCTTGGTTTTATTTTTATTTACTTCCTATTTATGTTAACAGTTTCAGGAAGATAACAGCACGACCTTCAGGAACAGGCTGTCTCAATAGCTCTTGCTCCTTCAGAAGCGTGGTAAGTAGTCCCACTAACTGAAGAAATTAGTAGGCTTTTAAATTTCTGAGAGAGTGATGATGTGTGTCTACTCTTCCACAAAATGAAAAAAATTAAAATCCTGGAATTCTGACTTACACCTAGCCAGTGGGCAACTGAAAATGACTACACAGCCATGTCTAAGGGTGAGAAATAATTTATGACAAATAAAGCTCATGAAAAATTCTAATTTCATTCATGTTACTACAAGTATACCTTCATGCTTTAAAAAAAAATGTGGGCTGGTAACATTTTTCTACCTAACTTACAGTGTAGAGTTAAACATGTGCCCTTACCTCTCCTCCAGTGCATGGAAAAGGACTGGAGTATCTAGAAGTGCAAATAGCTCCCTTCTTGACAACATCATCTTCCAGGCCAAATGTAGCCGAGCAGTTAGTTGCAAAGTACTTGTAAGGCTTCCATGTCTTCCCAAAGTCCTGGGACCGGTCCAGCACCATAGCTGCTGGCCTGGGGGACTTGAACACCATAATTAGATGAGTGAAGTAGAATTCAGCTTCCAGGTCCAACTGGATCTTTTCTCTGTGCACATCCTCAGCAGACTGCCACCATGTGCGAGGAAACCTGAAGGATGAGTCTGCCATGGCAGCCGGCAGGTGAGCCAGGTGAGACTGGGCAGCATTGCATTTATCACATTTGGGCTGCTGACAAGTCAGATCAGTGTTCTCACTATAGAAACAGTACAGTTCAGTGGCGTTCTGACCACAGGTGGTGTCTGCCCAGAGTTTTCTCCCTAAAGCCAAATTTCCCATCTGAGGATTACAGGCTTTTTCACAGCGGGAGCTCAGTCCAGCTACTCCACTCAGTCCTGGGGAAGGGAAAGCATATGTTATTCAAGAGAAACCCATTTGGAAAGCTCTTCTGTCCATCTAGTCCATCTTCAACAGTCAAGTTATCCTCAAAGAACTTGAGATTTTCAGTAAAGAGGAAACCACCAAATTTGAGCGTGAATACTGTTCTGTGCTTACACACCATTTGTTTATGCAAGTGTGTGTGTTTATGTTTGAGTGTAAAATTCACATAACAGAAAATAGAATCACTTCACAGAAGGAGCTAGAGGAAGGAAAATGGAAACATCAGGGTAAAGATAATGGGCCTAAACCTTTTAAAGTACTTTGCTTTCCAAAGTCTCCATATTTGAGATATACTTATTTTGTTTTTGAAGTCATGACTTAAATAATACCAAAAACAATAATGTTTTTAAGATCATTTAATTTAACCTTTCAAATATAATTTGAACCCTCAGCATTATCTAACATGTTTATGAGAATGCATTAAAAAGGAAATGTAGAATTTTATTATGTTTTTAAGCCAAAAAATATGAAGGTACATATTCCCTAGAAAAAGTGATATGAAATACTTCATCAGTATACAATTGGATCTTATTTAAAGATGCAAAGCCAGAAATCACTGAAGCTCAGTTGTGCAATATCCATTTTTAATATTAAGTAAATAAAACTAAGAAAAAACTCCCTAAACTGCCAAATGGCAGAAAAGCTTATTTGACATGCCCTGCCTCTTGAGTGTTTCTACCTATGACAGGTTATCTAGTAGTTACCTGTTTGCTTAACAGGAGAATGTTTACAGTCTGGCAGCCACTAACAGCACCTTTAAATGTCACCTGTGAACTAAAACACCTTCTGAAAGAAACATGTGCTTTCACTCAGAAGTCCAACAGACTTTAATGTTTCAAAATCTCTTAAAATGGTAAACAATACCTACTTATTAACATCCTCACTACATATTATAATCCTTTAATTTGGGTTTGTCATTTTAATTATGAATACCTTAAGCAAAATCATCTATTTTAAAAATTAAAACAAGGAAAGAAGGAAAAGGAGGTCAAACACCCAAATTCTGGCTAACTGAATGTTTCTGTTTTTAAGAGAGAGTGCTTCTGAACTGTTATCACTGTACTGTCGGAAAAACCAAATGACAGCTTAGACTAAAACAGAGATATTTCACTGACAATCACCAGCCCTACATTACTTTTGGCACCACAAGAAAGGGCTTCCTTAAGCATATTTTTTAAATGTCAAATTCAAGTGTGCATTATGCCCAGACTCTGTTTGCCACTGTTCTGTTAAGCTGGGGCAATAGTTGCTTGTGGCCAAGATCACCCAAACACCTATGACTCACCTGTAAAGCATTTCAGGGAAAATAATATACTGCCTGTACAAGTATTTTTGACTTGAAACACTTGCCTTGTGATATTTATTTACAACCTCTTGATTGCTTGCATGTTTTTGCCATAACATGGTTTGAAATGGGAAAGGTTTATTAAAGTTGATTTGTGGTTGGGGGAACGTGCACAAGTGCACGCAGGGGTGCATAAGTAGGAAGAATTTAAGTAAAATCTAAGACCTTAAATGGCTCCTTGAGAAAAGTTCTGAGTAATTTTAAATGCCCCCAGACTAACAAGAAGTGCAGAAAAGATTGGAGCCAGATAATAATTGGTGGACAAAATACTTGGAAATCCCTAAAGAAAGAGTCATCCAAGTATAGCAAGGATGCTCTTGTGAGTCAGACTGGTTGCTTTTACTGCGTGCCGGCGTCTCCGGGCACCGAGTGGAAGACGCCCAAGGGGAGGGAGAAGTGCACCGATGCTCTCTACCCACCTACCAGCACCTCTAGCCCACGCTTCCCTTTTGGGGTAAGCGAGATACATTTGAGAGACCGGATGGCCAAAACGTCCCTCACTTTCCTTCCCCCTAACTGGAAACCAGGGGACCCGCAAGAGAGAGGAAGAAGAGCAGAAGGGGCTCCGAATTTGGAAACGGCAACAGGAGGCCAGCGGCAGCCCGAGAAAAGCGAGATGGGAGTGGTAGGGATAGCGCATCTGACGACGCCTCTGCCGGCGGTCGAGTTACCGAGACAAGGAGCAGACCCGCCTCCGACCTCCTGCGGAGCCTCGGCCAGGGTACCAGTTCCCTGGGAGCGGTCAGCCAGCTCCGTGCAGTCTAGGGTGGCCACCACCTACCGCCCCAGCCTGGGGGCTCACAGCGCTCCAGCCACTGCCCGAGTAAGCGGGCACAGAACCACCCCAGGTGTCCCTACCTGGCTCCCCAGTACGCAGCATGAGGTCGGGGACTACCGCGATCGCTCTCAACAGGAGAGCGGCCTCGGCCCACGCGCGCCCAGGGTCGCTGGGCCACCCCTCCCCATCATTCCTCAGGCCATGAAGTGCCGGGGGATGGCGAGCTTGGTCCTTTGTTCGCTCACAAAGTGGAAAGGCAGTTTTTTACGAGCCCAAACAGAGAAAGAAACCAAGGTCGTAGTATCTCTGGCAGGGCGCACCCAGGATATCGGGTTATCCAAGGGCGTGTGTATCGCAGTTGCAAAAAAATCAATAGTATTTTAAACTGCGGAGACCCAGGGAAAGGAGGCGGAACATGGCCACTCATTTCATCCTCGGTTGCTGAGCTCGGCGCTCCCAGCCCGCACGCCCCTGCACCCCCGAGTCCCGAGGTGGAGAACAGAAGGAGCAAGGGAAGGGGGGTGGGGGCCCGGCAGCGTCACCACCCACCTGCGGCCACCGCGGAGCAGCCCAAGAGCAGCAGCAGCCGCGCGCAGCTCCCCATGGCCGGGAGGAGCCGGGAGGACCCGGGCCGGGCGGGCGAGGGAGGGGGCCGAGCCCTCTTGGCTGTGGGATGAAGCTCCGACGGTCCTTGGGAGGAACCGGGGCTCTTTATTTCCTCGTCCTCCTGGGGCTCCAGGCTCGGTCAGCGGGAGCCGGTGGCTGAGAGCTGCGGGCCGGGGCCGCGCCGGTCAGTGGAGTGACCCTCGCGTACCGGCCTTGGCTGGCCCGGGCACTCGGGGGGCGGTGGGAGCCCCGGGACCATAGCCGGCTTGGCGACGCTGCTCCGCGGTGCGGTCCTGCGGGCTCCTCCGCAGCCAGCCCGGGGCTCGGCGCCCACAGTAGCCGCTGAACTTTGGGAGACCTTTCACTTCCCGGCCGCCGCTGCCGCCGCCTCCTGGGCGTCCTCCTCCGCTTTTACCACCTCCTCTTGCTGCTGTGTCTCGGTCCCGTCCTTCTCCATAGGCAGTTGCATGGGATGCATTTTTATTGCACCGACACCGCGGCGCTCCGGTGCCAGCCCTCCCCCACTCGCACCTCCACCCCTTCCTCCCGCCCGCCCCCCGCGCTCTCTTGACAGCCGCGGCAGTGCAGGCGCGTGGCCGGGTAGTCGCCGCAGCTCGGGAGGGGTTCCCTGCCCCCCTGGCCCGACTGGCCGCCCACGCTGCCTCCTGGCCAGCTCCTACCGCATGCCTCAACTCCCGCGCACGTCCGTCACCTGGGCCCCCAGCTTCTCTCTTGCCCCTCCCGGCCCTTGTCCTGCATCTCCCTGCGAGACCCCCCTGGTGCCTTCCAGCACCCACAGTCCTACTCAGGGAATCAGTCTCCCACCTTTTCTGGGAACATTCCAGAGAGCAGTTGACTCCCTCTTGATCAGGTCAGGGCATGCCGAGGGGCTTAAAAAACCGCGAAACAGGCGCGCGCCTACTTATCACATCCCGCAGCAAAATAAGCCCTCTCTCCCCACCATCACCCCTGCCACCCCTTTCTCTCGGAGTCTCACGACCCAGGGGAGGACACCCCCACCCCCCACCCCAGCCTGGGGTCACTGGCGTTGAAGAGGGCACTGAGTGACCTTCCCTGCTTCTCTGATGCCTTGGTGGTTGTGGTGGGAGGTGGAGGGGCGCATCTTGGCTAAACATTCAATGCTTACTTTATTGAGTTGCATCCATTTTGATGTAAAAATTGTTCCCCAATTCAACCTCCAGGTACGAAAGAAAAGGGTCACAGTACTACCTAGCACGCAGTTTAAGAACAATCTTGTCCAGAGGCAGAGACATGGCAAAGAGACCCTCTTTGGTCCTTGCAAGCACTCTCACTCTACATATAGTGTATTGTGGTGTGAAACTATAATGTTGTGAAATAATCATGGGGAACAATTTAGTAGCAACCACAAGCAGTTAAATGTAGATAGGACTGCTCAGGGCTGCTGCTTATGGAAGGAGATTAAATAGCACTCAAGACTGAGTTCTATGAAAATACAGTGCAATATACATATCTAGGGAAACTTGCAAAAGTTAAGTAGAAAGGAATTTTTTTATTGCAGTGTTCATTTTGTGCCTTTGGATATTTCTAGAAAATTAACTACTTTGCCATTCACTTGTGTGTGTAATGATGATGACATTTCAGAGCTTTGGGGCACATGTAGATATTATTTATGACTTAGCTGGGGATATATAAGAAGTTTA